TCTCTCTCTCCCTACCTATCTACTGTATTTCTCTCTCTCTCTCTATCCCTCTACCTACCTACTCTCTCTCTCCCTACCTATCTACTGTATTTCTCTCTCCCCCCCATCTACCTATGTACTTATCTACTCTCTCTCTCTCCCCCTACCTATATACTGTATTTCCCTCTCTATTTCTCTCTCTATATCCCTCTACCTACCAATCTACCTATTCTCTCTCCCCCAGCTATCTACTGTATGTCTCTCTCTCTCTCTCTCTCTCTTTCTCTATCCCTTTATCTAACTATCTACCTACCTACCTACCTAACTACTCTCTCTCTCCCTACCTACCTACTGTATTTCTCTCTCCCCCCCATCTACCTATGTACTTATCTACTCTCTCTCTCTCCCCCTACCTATATACTGTATTTCCCTCTCTATTTCTCTCTCTATATCCCTCTACCTACCAATCTACCTATTCTCTCTCCCCCAGCTATCTACTGTATGTCTCTCTCTCTCTCTCTCTCTCTTTCTCTATCCCTTTATCTAACTATCTACCTACCTACCTACCTAACTACTCTCTCTCTCCCTACCTACCTACTGTATTTCTCTCTCTTTCTCTCCCTCCCTATCCCTCTATTTACCTACCTACTTTTTTTTAAAAAAAATGCCTCTTCAAAACCTTGGTGCGTCTTATATTCTGAAAAATACGGTAAGCAATCACAATCAGAAAATATTCAGCCATTATTTTTTCCTATTATAAAAACAGAAGAAAAACAACTCCATTCTTAGCATTAAACCCAGACCTACAAATGATTCACTTTCCTTACATCTTGAATTACCTCACCAATTTGCATCCTAGGAAAATTGCATCTTTCTCTCTCAGCACCCAAATGTTCTGAATGCAGTGACTTTCCAGGATACCAAATGCTTATGTAATAAAGGTAAGTTTTAAGGTAAGTTTGCATAGAGCATGAGAAAGGTACCCCATAAGTATAGAATGTTGTGAATAGCGTTAAATAGCTTACAACAATATGTAAAGGTAAAGCTTCCTCTTGCACATATGTGCTAGTTGTTCCTGACTCTAGGGGGTGTTGCTCATCTCTGTTTCAAAGCTAAGGAGTCAGCGCTGTCCGAAGATGTCTCCATGGTCCTGTGGGCGGGGTTTCTATATTTTTATTTGCATTTTTTATGTGCTTTAGAACTCTAGGTTGGCAGAAGTTGAGACAAGTAACAGAAGCTCACTCCGTTATGCGGCACCAGGGATTCAAACCACCGAACTGCCGACTTTTCTGATCGACAAGCTCAGCATCTTAGACACTGAGCCATCACATCCCTTAACAATATGTAAACTAACAGTTAATTAAAAGGGCAATCTAAACCAGCAACAGAACCCAAAGAGAAAGCAGAAAATTGAACAAATCTTTAAAAATCTTACATTTATTGGTGAAAGGAATCTTACTAAGATCCTGGAGGAAATCTTAAGGCAGTGATGGCTAACCTTTTTGGTGCTGAGTGCTGAAAGCACACACACGTATGCACACACATAATGCAATGTGCACCACCCTGCGCATGCACGAGCGACCCTCCTGAGCGCATGCAAACACAGCGCTCCTGTGCACATGCCACCCCCGCACATGCAGAGGAGAGACCTGAAAATCAGCTGGCTGGCGGGAAGTGTGCGCGCGTGTGCAGCGGAACTGAATTGGGGCAACGGCTTGTGTGCCCGCAGAGAGGGCTCTGCATGCCACCTGTAGCATGCGTGTCATAGGTTCGCCATCACGGGTCTAGCATAGATCCAGGTATAAATAGAATCAATTTAAGTTTTCTTTCTGGGGTTAAATTACCTATCATAGCGGTGAGGTACCCAGCTTCTTTCAGAATTTCTGCCAATATCGTCTCGTTCAATGGAAGGCCTGCCACTGAAGACACAGCAAAATTGTGGGTCACGCCATTACGAAGGCCAAGACGTCCTGTAAGCAGAGAGGCACGTGATGGGGAACAGGTAGATGCAGCTGAATGGAAATCTACAAATCTAGAAAAAGGGGAGGAAGGTTCCTATTATTTTTCATTTATTACACTCCTTTTAATTTGAAAGAAAATATTATTGAGTTGGTTTATGGCAAAGTATCTACAGTAACTGTAGTTAGATTTTTGATTTCTTAGGTAGACCACTGTAGGCCAGGCTGTCCAAAGCTACTTGGTTAGTGTAGTTTGACATTGAAATATGGCTTCCTTCCCCCCCACCCCTCCATCCTTATCCTTATGCACAGTGTGTACTTTTGTATCTATGGATCTGGAGCACTGTTACTTCTTTCATAAAATTCCTATTGACCTATATGAGCATTAAGCTTGCAATATTTATGTCATGTCTTAAGGCTGGAGTAGACTTCTGCCGCACTGCACCGCATGGAATGTATGCGTCTGTTGATTGGGTATGGTTGCATAAGTGTTCTTTTTATGGGTCAGCAAATTTTAATGTTCCCTGTGTGAACATGTTTTCCCTTCTCTCACCACCCAGTAAGAAGTTGGAACCAATCAGAAGGCAAGGTACACATCTCTGCACAACACATAGTTGGGATTCAGGACAGTGGTGAAATTCTTTTTTTTTTTACTACCACTTCTGTGGCGTGGCTTGGTGGGTGTGGTGTGACTTGCTGGGTGTGGCAGGGGAAGAATACTGCAAAATCTCCATTCCCACCCCAGACAGAGGTAGCATTTGCTGGTTCTCCAAACTACTCTAAATTTCCGCTACCGGTTCTCCGAACTATTCAAAATTTCCAAATCTCATATCATGCAAATGAGATGAAAAGACAAGAGAGACAAGAGAAGGAAGAGAGGGGTTAGGAGAGAAGGTGGGGGGGGGGGAAGAGGAGGAGAGAAAGAAGGAGTGGAAAGAGGAGAGAGAAGGTGAGAGGAAGGGGAAGTAGAGAAGGATGACAGAGGGTAGGGAGGAGGACAGAGGGAAAAGAGGCAAGAAAGCGATCGATAGGGTATAAATATGGTGTATGGAGAGCCGAAGAGCAAATGATAGTCTTTGGGGGTTGGTGGTAAGACGAATTGACATAATATTGAATAATACAAAATAGTGTTGATTATGTAATGATATACATGTGATTATTTGTATGAAAATAAAAAATAAAAAACTTGGAAAAAAAATTCTGCTATTGGTTCTCCAGAACCTGTCAGAACCTGCTGGATTTCACCCCTGATTCAGGAGATGTTTGCATTGGCCCAGCTGCAGCCTTTGGCAATCTCCACTTTCTCATCAACTGCTTTGCAGCGATGGGTATCCAGTTGCGGGCAACTCTAAATCTGCCTTTAGGGAAAAGGGAAAGTGCCCAGACAGTTGAAATATATGCAGACAAAAATCATTACTTCAGATTTAGCACAAACGTGAGATGCACAGCATGTTTGCTAACTTTGCTTCTCAAGGCTGCTAATGTCCAAAGAAAAATCAGTGCTGAGTTTTTCCTAGGGCAGTGGTTCCCAAACTTGGCAACTTTAAGACTTGTGGACTTCAACTCCCAGAATTCTTCAGCCAGTCTTAAAATTGCCAAGTTTGGGAACCACTGTCCTAGGGGACAAATCTGCCAATGAGGTGACATTTTCACCCAAACTGGCACTATCCCAATCTTCCTAAAAACTCATTCTCTAAAAGCATATGCTGCTTCATGCGAGTAATGTGATTGATTTATTTTATCTCCCATTACAGATTTTGGGGCATGGAATGTCCAAAGTAAGTTTTTGGGCTATGGAAACTTAGGAATGGAGATGTGGCTATTAACTTAGTTAAAGGGTAATTTATTTCATCTGATGACATCAAAGGCCAGAAGGTTCAAAGCACAGGACAAACAGTCTTGAGAACGGACACACATAATGGGCAAGTCATCAGACCTTTTTTTTGGAGTTGAAGGTTATCCTGTACAGCAACATTTCATTTGAAAGAGGAAAATGTCAGCTAATCCAAATTTTTAAAATCTCAAGAGATCACAATGTAATCTAATTACATCTTTTCCATGCAGGATTAAGGAATGCTATATACAGAAAAAGCTTTTTATCATGTGTCTGAGCTTTTTAAAAAACTTTTAACCATAAAAAATGGAGCAAAAAAATCATAACACAAATTAGCTATACTAACAATTCTGTCTACATAATCTTTTCCAGTCCACTATCCTACCAAATTTTGATCTGCAGCATACTTTAGTTGCAGCCCATATGGGCAATTATTGAAACAAGTATTAAACAGCTGAAGAAACAGGTTTGAAGAAAGTTGATTTATATTCTCATGTCTCCGGACTCATAAGAAAAAGCTTGCTTGGCACAAATGATTAAATTATCATATTTTTTGGAGTATAAGATGCACATTAGTTTTTGGGGAGGAAAAAAAAAAATTCTGCCTCTGCGTATCAGCATCCATTGGTATTTATCTGGCTAGATAATGTGCTAGCTTCAGCAGCCTGATTCAGCACAAGCAGCTGATTGGCGGGTAGATCAGCCTCCTGGAATACCCCCAATCAGCTGTTCCCAGAGGTGAATGTTAACAACCAGCTAGTTGGTGGTGAGCACGGAGCCTCTGTGGGGCTGAAACGCAGCTTCAAACATGCTGCTGATCTACTCAAGCAACTCTGATGAGTACAGCAGGCGTGGCGCGGAACCGGTCCAACCAGGCAACAGCTATTCCAGGCTGGGTTTTTGGCTTCTGTGCATTACTTTTTCAGGCTGTTCCAGGTAGCGAGGATCGGCAGTGATCCCCACTAGAACCGCCCAAAAATGCAATGCACAGAGGCCAAAAACAGGATGTGAAGAGGTCGAAAAAACGATGCCCAGAGGTCGAAAATGTGATGCGCAGAGGTGGCGATTAGTGGCGATGTGCTCTGGCGATCCCCGCAGCCTTGAATGGGTCTGAAATGGAGTGTTCGGAGGCTGAAAAAGTGAGGCACAGAGGCCAAAAAGGCAAGGCCGAAAATCGCTGGTGGGTGGGGGCTGGTGGGTGGGCATGGCTACATCCGGTTCATAAGATGCACACAAATTTTCACCCTCTTTTAGGGGGGAAAGTGTGTCTTATACTCTGAAAAATACGGTAGATATAACCTGGTGTCTTTAAATACTATGTTGGGAGGGGGGGGTGCTTCAACTATGTTATGACTCTTTTCCAGAAGTGTTTGCCATTGCTTCTTCCTAGGGCCTAAAGAGAGTGACTGCTCTCAAATCACTCACCTGCAAATCACTCAGCAGGTTTTGGATCTAAAGTAGAATTGGAATTCAGAATCTGTTGGTCTCTAGTCCAGTATCTTTAACTACTAACTATACCAAACCGATTCTCCTAAAATCCTGGTGACTACCTGGACAAGTCCATACATGTGGAGAGGGATGTTCCATAAGACAGGCACTATGACACAGAAGGCACGCCTCCTAGGACCCACCCAATGTAGATCCCTAGTTGATGGTACCCACAGCATGCCCTCTGTGGTGTGGGCTGAATAACCTGGGAGAGGAGATCACTCAGATAGCCTGATCCCATGCCACAAAGGGCTTTATTATCCTAGGTATATTAATTTTATTGATATTTTTGGAAGTAGATTGCCATTGCCTTTTTCTTGAGCTAAGAAATAGTGACTAGCCCAGTTTGATGCAGGTGACACTTTAGTAGGGGTTGAATTCAGTCTCCTGGTTTCTAGTCTAGTGCCTTTACCAACTGTCTCTCACGGTGTACATTCACCAAATAAAACAAACTACATTACAACTTAGGCATTGTATTTGACTGAGATAATTCATAAAGAAGTGACAATCTTCATAAGAGAAGTCTCTAGTACCGTATTTTCACGACTATAAGCCGCACTGAAAATCCTAAAATTTGACCCAAAACCGGCAGTGCGGCTTATAG